CTCCTGAGTGCTGGGATTACAGGCGTGCGCCACCATGCCCAGCCCCAGCTATTATTTTAAAAATTGATAAATCCATATTTTAAAATGCCTTGGCTTTAGTTCTTATACCAATAGATACTGATCCATCCTATCAACAGAGTACACAAAATATCCTTGGGACCCTTGATCTTTACGGTTGTAAAGGGGTGGTGAGAACTGCCACCCTCCAGGGAAGCTGGGCAAACAAAGATCTCAAATGCCTGCCAGGCCCAGTGCTCTGTCTGCAGCAGCGACCCAGAGAACACCAAAGCCCTGTAAGGAGAGAAAGCCCCGGAGCCTCTGTAGTGTTTAGCACTGGCCTTCAACAGTCAGGCACACCAACAGACAGGGCCGCAAGACCAGGACCCCAGCTAAGCGTACACACACAGCCATGTGTGATGGTGCACGCCTGCCATCCCAGCAGTACTCTGGGAGGCAAAGGCAGAAGGAACATGAATTTAAGGCCAGGCTGGGCAGTTGACCAAGGCCCTCTCCCAGTGCAAACTTGTGTGCAATCCCCAATACAAAAAGAGAGAGAGAAAAAAAATCCCCCACACACACTTAGCTAGCACTCCTCTGACATTGAAAGTGATCACTTCTGTGTGAACATAGAAACAAAATGGGGGCTGGGTTGTAGCTCAGTGGTACAGCACTTGCCTTGCCTGGCATGTGCAAGGCCTTGGTTCTATTCCCAGCTCCAGGGCAAAAAAGATTTCACAGAAGACCTGGATGGTAGAAACTAACCCTGCACTGCACACAGGCAGCCCGGCCACACGGGAGAATGTGGTGATCACTTGAGTCCCAGCTAGGCAACATGGCCAGACCCCACCTCAAAAACAAAACAAAAACCATGAAATATCAAAATGACCAAAATGAAATTCCAGACCTGAGAAATTAAAAAACCAAAATTAACAAGAAAAGCCAGGTGTGCTGGCACATGTCTGTAATCCCAGCAGAAGGTAGGAGGATCCCAAGCCTGGGCAGTCTAGTGAGACTATCTCAAAATAAGGTTTTTTTTGGTTTGGTTTTTTTTTTTTGGTACTGGGAATTGAACTCAGGACCTTGTGTTTGCCAGGCAGGCGCTTGTGCCACTGATCTACATCCCCAGCCCTCAAAACAAGGTTTTAAAAGGGCTGGAGCAGGGAGGGGTGGTGCACGCCTGTAATCTCAGCACTTGGGAGGCTGAGGCAGGAGGACCTACAGGAGTTCAAGTCCAGCCTGGGCTACATAGTGAGTTCAAGGCCAGACCCTGTCTCCACTACATGGCAAGATCCCGTTTCAAAAAAACAAAAAACTAGACAAAACAACAAAACAAAAATCAACAAAACTACGAAAAGAAAGCAATTAGACATAGCGAAAAGAAGACAGAAACAGGAAAATGGATCCGCTGAAAGTATGAGGATGAGTCAGGCCCAGCGGCACAGGGCTGTCATCCCAGGTGCTCTGGCGGCTAAGCGAGAGCATCACAGGTTTGAGGCAACTTAGCAGACCTGTCGCAAAATAAAATTCTCAAGAAGTACTGGGGCTGTACTTAGCGGCAGAGCACTTGCCCGGAAGATGCAAGGCCTTAGGCAGGGAAAAAACCCAAAATCTCAAAAATAAAAACATAAAAAAACAAAAATTAATGAAACAGGAAAAAAAAGGAAAGAAGAAATCCATCGGAGAATGAGAGAAAAACGGATGGAAATTATGGAAAAGTATAAGAATCATCTGAGACACGGCCAGGAGATCCACTGTAGCATCAGCAGAGCCCCAGAGGGGGAGGGACGGGGCACGGCCGGCTCCCCGCACCCGGGAGTGACAGTGACGGGGAGAAGGAGACGAGCGGTTACATCGGGTGTAAATGGCCTAAACCTAAACTCTAACTTGAAAGACAGGACTCAGTTATGTGCTACTTTCTAAAAACAAGCCTTAGGACACAGACTGAAAATAAAAGAACAGAAACAGAACAGTTAACCAAAAAAAAAGTCAGTACTGTACAGCTCAAGTAGGAGGAAAAATTTAGACTTTCTTAAAGGCCTTGTGTGGTGACGCACACCTATAAGTAGGCCCAGCACTCTGGGAGGCCATGCCAGCCCCAGCCACTTAGCAAGACCCTGTCTCAAACTAAAACAAAAAACTCAAAAAAAAGGCAAGGATGTAGCTCCAGATGTAGTATGAAGGCCCTCGGCTCAATCACAAGTACTGAGGAAAAAGAAAGACGTTAAGTCAAGAAGCAGTAACAGAGACATTTCATATGATAAAGGAGCAATCCATCCAACAGAGAGAGGGTAATCCTACCCCTACGCACCGAGCAGTGTCCAAGTGTGTAAGGCAAAAGTATCACAGTGAACTGGAAAAATGAACAAGTTCACCGTTACACAGATCAAAAAATCAGAGATTTGAGCGACACGATTAACAAATGTGACCTAGCTGACATGAACACAGCACCGCAGCCAGAAGTGACCAGCGCGCACACTTTTTAAGTGCGCACAGAACTTCATCAAAAGCGTTCCCACGCATTTTGAAGGACTCTGACCATGGCAATACTAAGACAGAACAGCATGTAGATTATGCTATATTTTGCAGGGAGAAAAGGGGGGGAAATGTACATATTTGACTATGCATGCTCAGGTGTGGCCCCTTAGGCAGACACTGCTGTGTGCTGCAAGAGGGGAACTGAGCTGCTGGGGCAGAGGTCAGAGGCTCTGCTGTCATACTCCTGAGGTGAGGCGCGGGCCTGTGCATCAGTGCTAAAGCCTCGGTAAGTATGATCAAGCAATCAACGCAGTCTGCCCCCAGGGCAGGGCTCACGTGTCCTGCACGGTGGTCTCGGCCTCTTGGGACAGCACTCTGTGCAGGGCAGGAGCTGGGGCTCAGCGGGGCCTGTGGCCACTCCTGTCACTTGAGGAGCCACCGCCAGCAAGGACACCATGGTGCCCTACTCACCACCACAGGCTGCCGGAAATACTCGTCCACAGCGGCGCCCCGAAGAGCCGACAGGTCTACCCCGTGGAAGGATGGCTGGTACCTGCAGAGAGCCCCGCCCCAGCAAGGTCACCAGCAGCGGGAAGGCCGGGTGGGTCCCTGTCATCTCCCAGCTGGTGCCGCAAATGCAGCCCAGTTCTCCAGGTCCCACTGAGGACAGGGCGAGGCGGGCCGCGCCATGGGACACCCAGGGCGCACTCACCAGAAGTTGGCCTTGGTGAACTGCTCCATGTAGAGCTGTTCATCCGTGAAGGGTGCCAGGTGGACGTCACCAATGGTGGGGAACATGTTTCCTGGGAGCGGGGCGGGCGGGGGGGCTGGCGTCAGGGTGGCACATCCCGCGTGGGGGGACAGAGCTCCCAGAGGACCCAAGACCCCAGTCTTAGGCTCTTCAGCCTCTCACCCACCCACTCACGCGTTCATGTGGCCTTGCGCTGTCACCCTCACCCCTGATGGAGGTGTGTGTGTGAACACACACGTGTGACCACAGCGGGCTTGTTCTTCTGTACCCTTTGGACTTGTGACCCATGGATCTACATATCGATGCCAAAATCGCAGTGAGTGAGATCACCCGATCAGAGCAGCTCGCTAGGACTCGACTCATCCACGAACAGCTCTGGTCCTGCACACCGGCTGTTCCCTTTTGTCCCTGTCCTGTTCCTAGCCATGGGAGGCTGGCAGGAGGGGCGACCAAAGCCGCCTCTGGCATGCACAGGGAGGCCAAGCGGGTGCTCTGGGTGGAGGAGGGGCTCGGCTACAGCCCCACAGCCAGGACTCCCCGGCCCCGGCAGACCCCTGGCCAGCAGGGTGGGCCGCTCAGCCACGCTAGCTTGGCGTGTGGCCTCCAAGGGGCGGGAAGCAAGGTCCTCATCTGTCAGTCCACAGACAGATGAACCAGGGCTCCGGAGGCCATGCCTGCTCTGGGACAGCACCTGGCCTCCAGATGTGTTCTCCCCACCTTTTATGCAGTGGGGGAGGGGGCCCTACCAGGCTAGCAAAGCCCAGCCGCAGCCCTGGGGATGCGGACGGGGATGGGACAGCAGCGAGGTACTCTGCTCTGGCCCTGGGGCCCACACCAGGCCACCTGCCCTGGGGAGCCGGTGGCGTCACAGGAATTTGCCCAGCCTAGAGGCTCCTTGGTTCCCATAGGCCAGGAGGTGGGGGACAGGCGCTGCCTTTAATTGTCCCTGCTGAGCAGGCCAGCAGTGAGAGCTGCCCCCCAACCTGGCTGGCCCCTAGCCTCACAGCCCATGAGGGGCCGGCCCCCTCTGCTGGGCAGCCCCATGCCTGCAAGCTCAGCCACCAAAGGGGAAGGATGAGAGGGAAGCAGATTTGGGCCTGGTGGTGTAAGCCTGTGATCTCAACACTCTGGGAAGCTGAAGCAAGAGGACCTCAAGTGCATATCCAGCCTGAGCAACTTAGTGATTTAGTGAGGCCTGTTCTCAAAAAAAAAAAAAAGGCTGGGCATGTAGCTCAGGGAAAAGGCTCTAGGTTCAATCCGTAGTAATGCAAAATAAGGAGGGAAAGCCACAGCGACAGCCTCAAGTAGCACACGCATCCTGCAGGCAGGACAAGGTGGGGAACGGTGGCCACCTCCAGGAACACGGGCCATGGCAGGCCACCCGGGACAGGGAACTGGGGACCTCTCCACACACCCACAACCTGTCCCCAGCCCCAGTCTGCCTGCTTCCGGCCTCCACCACAGCCACTGCCCTGGCCAGGGCCCTCCCATGTGCACGCTTGCACATGCATGCACGCACACACACACACACACACACACACACCCCTTATTGCCACATGCAGGGAAGTTCAGGGTAGCAAAGACCCCTAATGCAAACAGGCAGGTACACGCAGTTGCCTGGTGACTTGGGCTCACACCCAGATGCAGCGACAGCGACTAGCTCGCCTGGGACGGACAGGGGGCCAGATGGGCTCACCAGACTGCTTGCTGCCGCACCGCCCACACACAGACAGGTACCTGCACAGGCACACACGTCCGCCCGCCCACCCCACCCACCCCCGCTGAGGGAGCAGGCTCTCCAGGGCCTCCAGGCAGCCCCTCGAGTAGGCGGGCAGGGACATGTCTGGTCCCATTTGGGTCATGGGGCTCCTAAAGCCATCACCGGGTATGGGGAGGAGGGCAGACAGGGAGCAGGGGGAGGCCCAGACTCCGCTGTACCCTGGCTGCTGGCACAGGCAAGCTGGGAGCGGCGTCACCATGGGCCGACAGTCCAGCAGCCTCCCTGCTGGCCTCCCTGCACGGCAGCTGCCGAGCGTGGTCTCGACACTCACCGCTGGGCTTCAGGTACTTCTTGGCGTGGAGGTAGCTCTCGAGCATGCGCTCGTTGAAGAGCATGTAGCCCATGGGCTCCGAGATGATAATGTCCACCTGCTCGGGGAGCGAGACCTCCTCCACCTTGCCAGGGATGACCACGATGCGGTCCATCAGGTTGTTGCTCTTCACTAGGACCTGCAGACAAGCGGCAGGGGTCACGGGGTCCCTGCACCTAACTACCCCTGGGATGGCTCCCTGGGAGGGCCTCTGGCCGACACGGCCGCCCACAGTCCCTCTGCCTCCTCCAGCCCCGGCCTCTCAAGAGCATGGTGGCTCCGCACTCCCAGGCAGCGGCAGCCCGGGTCCCCCACCCTAACAGGGTCTCCTGCTGGGGAGCAGAGACGGGGGAATCAATTTTACCAGGGCTGCTCATGCTGCAGCCACACCCCACAACCCAGCAAGTCCCAGTACTGGAACTTGTCCTGAGGCACAACTGTAGCAGGACAAGTACCTTGAGTTTAAAGGCTCAGATTTTTTTTTTTCTTTTTGAGACAGAGTCTCGGTATGCAGTTCAGGCTGGCCTTGAGCTCACTTTGTAGCCCAGGCTGGCCTTGAACTTGCAACGATCCTCCTGCCTCAGCCTCCTGAGTGCTGGGATTACAGGCGTGCGCCACCACGCCCGGCAAGGGGCTCAGATTAACAATGTCTATGACAAAAAGACTGGAAGAGAGGACGTCACCAGAGACAGAGTGCAGTTAAACAAACAAGGGTCAGCTCAGGCCCAGGGACACCTGGCAGCCACAGAGAGGGTGGACGGGGTGCCCAGAGGGACAGAGACGTGTTCCTCGCACGAGGCAGCAGCAGGCGAGGAAGCCACTCGGGCCCGTGCACCCCTGGAGGAGACTCGCAGGGTCCTGGGGGTCCCCTGGGGAGGGGCTAGAGGACTGGGGCCGGGGGAGGGAGGCATTCTCACTGTTCACCCTTTGCAGCTCTGCAGTTCTGAACCTTGTGAATGAATGTTTCAGTGGAACGTATAAAAGTAAAAAGGAGAGGACAACATAAACCCACAAAAGGAAACAGTGCTGTCACTTGCACCAGACACAGGGAGGCAGGGCACGGAAACGCCAGGCCCACACCCCAGAGGTCTCCCCTCAAGCACAAGGCCTCGCAGTGTCCCAAGGCCCCACGCTGGCCCTGGCCTTCGACATAAAGGGGCGGAAGCGAGCCCCAGCCCCCATGCCACATGTCCCTATCTCCCACACTGCCTGGCCAGGGGCCAGGCCTCCTGGAGGCTCGAGAGGGGCACCAAGAGTAAGGACAACACCGCAGGGCACCAGGGCACTGACCTCGGCATGCTGGGCCATGGTGCTGGCCTCCACTGCATAGATTTTCCTGGCTCCAGCTTGGGCGGCGAAAAATGACAGGATCCCGGAGCCACAGCCGACATCGAGCACAATCTGGAAATGGTGGGCATAAGAGGTGCTGGGCCCCAGGCAGCGGGTGTGACCCCGATGCAGGGCACAGACAGGCATCCAGGAATGTGGGCAAGGACTGTACATCGGCTACCGAGCGTTTCCACATTACAAGAGTCAGAATAAAAAGAGCAAGAAAGAACCCGAGGAGGGCAAGGAAGAGCCACAGCGCTCCTGAAAGAAACGTGCACGTCCCGGGCAGCGCACGTCTGTGAAGGAATCGCAGAGCTGGCACAGGGCACCTGGGAGTGACACCAGGGGGAGTGGAGGAAAGAGCCAAGGATGGCTGAGCTGAAGGCGCGGCCTCAGGTGGGAGGAGCCCCTCAGCGCCAGGCTCAGGAGCGCAGGGCCTGCAGGGCACAGAGCTGGCGCGCTCTCCAGGGCTCTGCGGCCTGGTAGGTAGGCAGCGGCCAGCAGGAAAGTGCACGTTCCCAGCCGATTCAAAAGAGGAAACAAATGCTGGGCCACGGGTGAAGAAGGGAGTGAGAAATGCAATTAAACTGGGCAAGATGGCACAGGCCTGTAATCCCGGCACCGTGGAAGGCTGAGGCAGAAGGATCACAAGTTCCTCCTGGGCAGTTTGGCAAGACCCTGTCTCAAAATGAAAATTAAAAGGAACTGAGGCTAAAGCTGTGCGTAGTGGCACACACCTGTAATCCCAGCACTCGAGGCTGACCCTGAGGAGGATCGAGGGTCGCCAGGAGTTCAAGGACAGCCTGGGCTACATAATGAGTTCAAAGCCAGCCTGAACTCTATATATATAGCAAGACCCTGTCTCAAAAAAAGAAGAACTGGGGCTGTAACTCAGCGCCAAGGCCGGGTTCAATTCCCAGTAGCAAGAAATAAAAGAAAACGCATTTACTACCCCTGACCTGCACAACCTCAGCCTGGCTGACCTTGAAGGTGCTCAGAACACTGAAGGAACCCTCGGCCGGGCCAAGGAATCCAGCGCCGAGCCTGCCGCACAGCACAGCGCTGACCGTCCCATGCAGCGTGTGGGACACTCGGGGGAAAGACAGCAGAGCAGCTGAGCGGGGACACTGACCCAGACGGCACTGAGGGTCGCACATCTAGCCCTCAGAAGACAGGGACCATGGGGGACACTGTGCCGCTTGCTATCTTTTCAATCACGATTGCACACTGGTTGGCTGCATTAGAAGCTTCTCGGCGGAACTGGGAGGGCTGTGTGCAGCTCAGGGGCACCACACTGTCCAGCGCATGGAGGCCCTGGGCTCACTCCCAGCGAGGGGACGTGCAGGATCAGCTGCGGCCCAGCCCTCAGCCTGAATGCCACGCCCCAGGAATCCAGAGACCTAAACACTGCGTGGTGCCTGCCCTACACACACAGACCCACGCGCTGCGAAGGGGCCGAGAGAGCTCAGGCATCTTTGCCCGGGGTGTGACGTTACAGTGTCTGATGTCACAGTGTCTTGACTTCTGTTTGGGGTTCCCGACTCATCACTCCATCCCTGAGGTGGGCCACAGAAAAGAGACATTCCCTCCCCCGTGGCAGGACGTGGAAACATTTCTTCCTGTCTGTCTGTCTGTCTTGGAAGTGGCTATGAAGAGATTGTGACACAGCTGGGTGTGGTGGCACACACCTGTAATACCACCATGTGGGAGGCTGAGGCAAAAGGATGGTGAGCTTAAGGCCAGCCTGAACTACATAGTGAGATCCTCACACACACACACACACACACACAGAGGAATCTCTGACCTCCTTGTTCCAGAGGGACCCGCCCTTGCTGCAGGGAGAGGTGCTGCCATCCCAGGCCCAAGCAGGGTCCCACAGGCAGGCCTTGCTGGGTGTCTACACGTGGCTGTGAGCACCCTGGCTGGGAGCGAAGCCCCAGAAACCCAGAGGACAGCTGCCCAGCAGGGAGGGTGCCCACGTGCCCCCACCCCAGACCTTTCCCCACCTCTCTTCAGCAATGGCCTTTGTGACCCTTCACGGGTAAGCAGGACGTGAGCTGCCCGAGCAAAGGAGCTGAACCCAAAGGGGCCCTGGCTTAGAGCTAGTCAGTAAGTAGCATGGGCCAAACCACCTGGGGCTGCTGGCTGGCATCTACAGTGTGAGTGAGTGTGAGTGTGCATGTGCACGCGCGTGTCAGGGCTGGTGTCCACTGCTGGAGAATGGCATACTTGCTTATGGGGAGAAAGCCCCCACTTAGAAGTCTGTGCTAGCTGGGCATGGGGCACATGCTTGTCATCCCAGCACTCGGGAGGCTGAGGCAGGAGGATTGCTGAGTTCAAAGCCAGCCTGGGCTACAAAGTGAGTTCAAGGCCAGCCTGAAGTACACAGCAAAAGTCTGTCTCAGAAAAAGACCAAAACAAACAAAGGGCCTCTGAAGTACACACTCATGCACGCACGAGGACAAATTTGGGAGGCAAGACCTTAGACTGATGGCAGTGACCTTTTGCAGGGAAACAACAGAGGCCTTTCCTGTGATACTCAACACATTAAAGAGGTTTTCTTCTTGATTTTTTTTTTTTTTTTTTTTTGGAGAGAGGGTCTCGCTATGCAGTTCAGGCCAGCCTTGAGCTCACTTTGTAGCCCAGACCGGTCTCAAACCCTCGAAGATCCTCCTGCCTCAGCCTCTGGGTGCCGGGATTACAGGCGTGTGCCACCATGCCCAGTGAGGTTTACTTTTTGCAATCAGAAAAAACAGATCTGAGATAAAAATCACTGAGTGAGCAAACAGAGAGTCAAGAGAAGCAGGGAAGCGAGCCCGCTGCCAGCCAGCACTGGTTACCTTGTCCTTGAAGTCGGTGTGGTTCTGCAGGATGGCTCGCTGGTAGGTCCCCGTCCGCACGTAGTCCTGCATCATGTTCTGCTGCTGGGACAGGTAGCCATAAAACTGGAACAGAGACACACCAATGGCACAGGGCACCTGGGTGACACTTGGCCGAGAGCTGGCCAGCCTTGCAGGGGGGTCACTGTGGTCTTCCATCTTCCTGGGGAGGCCGAGCGCCCTCTGCCGGCCCCGACCCTACTGGTACCCACTGCCAGCTGCTCAGGAGAGGGAGCAGCGGTCTGAGGGGCAGCCCCAGGAAGGTCACCACCACCGGCACTGTGGCTCAGGGACACAGGCAGCCGCCACCTGGACCTGGAAGCCACCCAGGTGGCCATAACTTTGCCACAGGTGTGGTTCTGGCATCAGGGCCATATGCCCCAGCTTCAGGGCCCCAAAGAAGAAGAGGAGCAGGTGGATCAGAACCCTAGAGCTCAGAGCAGCAGGCAGGTGAGGTGCGGTGTCTCTCTGTAAGACAACAGGCGATCGGGAGGCAGCGTGGCACCTGCAGGGCCACAGGCTTTGGCATCAGGCAGACCTGGCTTCCCATCTCGGCTCTGTTGCATAAGAGCTGTGTGACTTGGGGCAAGTCACTTAACCTCTCTGAGCCTCAGTTTTGTCATCTGTAAAATGGGACAATAACAGCACTTACCTCCTCGAGTTGTTGGGAGAGTCCTAGTGCTTCTGGGCCCGCAAGAGCTCAGAGAGTGCCTGGCGCACGGGGTGTCGTGGGGGGCGGGCGCGGTCAGGACAGTTCAAAATGCCTAGGGCCCGGGCTTTACCCGCACTCAGATCCTTCCAGCAACCCTCTCAGGCGTCACAAATGAAGAAACTGAGGCCCAGCAAGCAGAGGACACTTGCCCAAGGCTACACGGCTCGTAAAGGACACAGCCAAGGCAGGGTCCCTGGTGGGCCTGCTAGAGCTGGACAGCCTCCTGTGAGCTGGCAGGCAGGACACGCCACCAGGTGCAGGCGACCTGGGCCAGGGCAGGCGCCCCCTACCTGGAAGTACTGCACAGCTGAGGACTCTTCCGTGCGCTCACTGAACACCGACCGCTCCAGGGTGTGGCCCCGGCACGTCTTCAGGATGTTGTAGAAGGAGCAGAAATCTGCAACAGGGAAGCCAGGTCACGGGGCATGGAGTGACCTGCCCGGCAGGCCGGCACGCGTGGCCCTCGCAGGGCCCCGTCCGGCAGCGCACCCAGGCTTTCCCACGCGGATGCGTGGCTTGGTGACCCCAACAGCATTCACATCTTGAAGGAAAGGGCTGAGGGTGCCGCTTGGAGGTGCTGCGCACGCCTTGCTCGTTAAGGCCCTGGCCTCCATCTGAGCACGGCCAGCTCCAAACACAGGAATAAAGTAAAGAAGAAAAGGAAGCCAGGCGTGGGGGCGCACACCGTAATCCCAGCACTCGGGAGGCCGGGGCAGGAGGGTCACCGAGAGTTCAAGGCCAGTTTGGGCTACACAGTGAGTTCAAAGCTAGCCTGAACTTCATAGTGAGACTCTGTCTGAGAAAGGAAGGCAGGGAGGGAAGGAGGGAAGAAAAAAAGGAAGAGAAAAGAAAACAGAAGAGAGAGAAGAGAAGAGAAGAGAAGAGAAGAGAAGAGAAGAGAAGAGAAGAGAAGAGAAGAGGCAGCCAAGACAGTCACTTGGTGACCAAGAACAGCAGACAGCAGGTTCAGGGAAGAGCAAGGGTGGCCTGGCAGAAACAGGCCTGTCATTTCCTCCCTGAGAGCAGCACGGTGAGGCTGTGAAGGGCACAGGCCACTGACCCAAGTGTCAAACCTCCCATGATCAAGCCCACATCTACCCAGGAACTCGTGGCAGTGTGTGTGGGGGGCACAGAGACGCCGCCCCCACCGCCAGCGGATAGGTGAAGTGAGAGCGCAGGCTGGGATGCTGCTCCCAGGGGTGCACTTGCCGGGCCTGGCTTCCATGCTCATACCACGAAGGAGAGAGGAGGAGGAGAGAAGAAAGAAGGAGGAAGAAGAAGAAGTGAAAGAAAAAGATGGAGAAAGACAGAAAAGAAGAGGAGAAGGAAACAGGAAAAAGAAAAGAAGTTAGAAGAAGAAGTGTGGGAAGGAGAACCTCAGCGGAACTGGTAGGATCACTGTTAAAGGTTGTTGCTTTGCCTGGCGTGATGGCGCACTCCTGTGATCCCAGCACTCAGGAGGCTGAGGCAGGAGGATCACTGTGAGTTCAAAGCCAGCCTGGGCTACAGAGTGAACTCAAGGCCAGCCGGAACTACACCGTGAGACCCTGTCTCAAAAAGACAAAAAAGCCTGTCACCACTTGGTAATGTTTTGTTTCACTTTGCTTTTCTGGCAGTACTGGGGATTGAACTCAGCCCCAGAGCACACGTACTAGCCAAGCGTACATAGTTCACTGCTGAACTACACCCCCATCCCCTGCCAGAGTTATTTCTTTTGTTTTGTTTTGTTTTTTCTGTCTTTTTGAGGCAGGGTCTTCCTATAGATAGTGCAGGCAGGCCTTGAACTCACTTATGTATCCCATGCTGCCCTCAAACTCACTGTGATCCTCCTGCCTCAGCCTCTGGAGTGCTGGGATTACAGGTGTGCGCCATCACACCTGGACTTTCTCTCTTTCTTTCTAACTATAAGTCTAGATTACAATAGTCTCCTCTTGTCCTCAAACCTTCTAGAGTTTTCCGTGACACAAACAGCCTACTATGGCATGCAGGCCATGGGTTCGTCACAACTGCTTATAGACTGCATTTTTCCCCTACATATATACACCTATGATAAAGTTTAACCCTACAAATAGACAAAATTACTCTATGTTAATTAAATTGGGGGGGTTGTGTAGTGGTACAAGCCTGTAATTCCAGCTATTCAGGAGGCTGAGGCAGGAGGATCAAAAGTTGAGGTCAGCCTGGGCAACTAAAGTGAGACCATGTCTCAAAATAATAAAAAGATGTGTTCGGGGGCTGGGGATTTAGCTCACCGGCAAAGCGCCTGCCTGGCAAGCGCAAGGTCGTGAGTTCGGTTCCCGGTACCGGAGAAAAACCAAAAAAAAAAAAAAAAAAGATGTGTTCAGGTGTAGAGCACCCTAGGGCTCAAATTCCCAGTACTGTGGGAGAAGCAGTTTACTGTGTAACAGTAGGGACCTGCTGCATTTCTGTACATAGAGAAAGAAAGGGCAGTGGGGCAGGAGGCCGGCTGGGCCCGACGGCAGCTCCCCTCAGCTTCCCCGCCCTGCCCACCCCGGTGTCTTCCTACCACCATAGAGCCAACCCTCAGGGACCGTGTGCGCCCCCTCCCCCAAGCAGGGCTTCTGAGAACCTTCCAGTGGCTTCTCTCACTGCCCAGACCCCCCACAGGCTGTGAGGCAGGGCCACACACTGGGGGCAGGGATCACTTTCGGGGGCAAGAGCTGAGCCCCAAGAGACACAAAGGACCCAATGCCAGCAGAGGGTTTGTTCTAAGTGGCAACAATAGTCTTACCAGACTGTGTTTCCACACGGGACCACAATTATTATTATTATTATTCCTTTAATTTATTATTATTATCGTGGAGGTAGCCATTGTTAGAAACATTCTCACAATGCTGCCCAGGCTGGCTTTGAATTTTTGGGCTCAAGTGATCCTCTTCTGTCCACCAGGACAATGGTTTTAAACTGGGCATGGTGGCACTCGCCTGTAATCTAAGCACTGGGGAGGCTGAGGCAGGGATTACGCTGAGTCCAAGGCCAGCATGAACTACATAGTGAGACCCTGCCCCAAAACAACGACAGCAGCAAAACCCAGGAAGATGGCTCGGACAGTGGTCCCTGGAGACTGCAGCGGCTGCCCCTTCCCAGCTCCAGCCCGCCCGGCCCTGGGCTGAGACACGTACCGTTGGGGGTGGCGAACTGGATGAGGACGCTGTTGCACCCCAGCGTGATGATGAAGGACTGCTTGCCCACGCGGCTACACTCCGTCTCTCGGGACACCGAACACTTGAACACACACACGTCCTCATCTGTGACACACAGAAGCAGTGTGAGCGGTGGCGCCTTGCTGGCTGCACTGGTTTGAGCCTGAGTCCCTGCCACCCTCCCTCTCTGTCCCCTGGGAGCCCCAGAGACTTCCCAGAGACTGCCATGAAACCTCCCTAGAGGCCTGTTAGCCAGTTCCCTGCCTGCCTGGGCCACTCGAGGGGCAGGGAGGGGCTGATCGGAGCGACACGTCCAGTGGGGAAGGACCAGGCACTCCGATGGCCTGGCCCCGTGCACAGGGAGACACAGGCGAGCAATGGCAACCACACCAGGGCCACAGCGTCACCGAGACGGGTGAGGCCCGCGGGGCCCAGCGGGGGAAGGAGGGCACGCATTCCAGTCACGTGGGGGCCCAGCCTTCCCTCTCGGTGTGCGCTGACCCTGTGTGTGGCCACGGGGCCCACACAACCCAGCTCTGTCCCGCTACACCTCTCACTGCACGGTGCAGGGGTCGCAGCTTCTCCGAGCCCTGGGTTTCTCGCTCACCTAATGGGGCTGACGGCGAGGCAGGGAGACGGCAGCTACAACACGCGCTCCGTCACAGGCGAGGCACGCGGGAGGCCCCGCGCCTGTTCCTGCGGCTGCACCAGTCTCCCGTTCAGCACGTGTACGGTGTTCCCAGGGCCAGACAGCGCCCCAGGATGGGACAAATTCACCCACGGAAGTGGTCCCCTGCCGCACTACTTTCCAACAGCCCCGGCATCTGTGTAGCAATCTGGGCAAAAATGCTGCCCTCGGTCCCCTCCTAGGGGACGGCAGAGGATGGCAGACTGTGGCGTCTGCAAGACAAGCAGCCTGCTCTCCCAGCGGGGCACCGCCAAGGGCGAGAAGAATGTGGGGAGCTCAGCTGAGGGGGGCGCGTAAGAGCGGCTGACAAATGCTGTTCGGATGCTGACAGGACCCTGACAAGAAAAGGCTTTAAAAACCCGTAAAGCGGGGTGCTGGGGATTTAGCTCAGCGGCACAGCGCCTGCCTGGCAAGCACGAGGTCGTGAGTGCAATTCCTGGTACCAGAAAAAAAAAAAAACAAAAAAAAACCCCCGAAAAGGCCAACTTGGGAAATGCACGGACTGGGAATGCGGTGTTTAGAAGGCCCTGCTCTGACAGGGCACCTACAGAGTGCTCAGCACAAACTCAGGTGATCGCTGCAGCAAGTTGCTTCCAGATGGCTCATCAAATACCAACAAAGGAAATGCAAGGCGAAGTATGAGTGCAAATGTGGGTAAGAAAACCATTTCCAAGGGGTCACATGTTCAAGCCCTGCCTGGCAACCTAACACTGTCTCAAACTTTTAAAAAATAAAGAAAAAAGGGCTGGGGATGTAGCTCAGTGTAAAGAGCCTGGGTTCAATCTCCAGGACAGTAATGAAAAATAAAGAAGTTTCCAATCATGGTGTAGCCAAAATATCTTGGAAGCCAAACAACAAAGATGGAGGATTCACACTTCTCAATTCCAAATCGCACTACAATGGTAATCAAACAGCGTAGTACTGGCAAAAGAACAGACCTGGGGAATAGAACTTGAGTCCAGAAATAAACCCATTTATGGTCAATTGATTTTCACCATGGATGCCAAGAACATTCAACGGAGTAAGAAGATTCTCTTCAACGAAGGAAGCTGAGACAACTGGAAATCCACTTGGAAAAGAATGAAACCGGATCCCTGCCTCACACCCTAACACACGGACCAGGCTGGGGCCATAGCCCAACCATAAAGCGATTCCCTGGCATGTGCAAAGTCCAAACCCCAGCACTGGGGGGAAAAAAAAAAAATTCTGACTGGATCAATGACCTAAATATAAAAAGTAAAACTGTAACAGTCTTAGAGGAAAACACAGAGGAAATCTTTGTGACCTTGGGTTTAGCAATGGATCCCTAGCTATGAAACCAAAAGCTGAGCAAGGAAGAAAAGAGATACCAATGGACTTCATCAAGATTATAAACATTTAGGGTCATGGATACAGTTTGAGGGTGGAACACTTGCCTATACACGGAGGCCCTGGGTTCCACCACAGCACTGGGAAACACTGTTCAGAGCGACAGTCAAGCGATAGGATGGGAGACAGCACTTATCAGTCGTGCATCTGATAAAGACCCAGGATCCAGAGCATATAAAAGCTATTTTTATATCAGGCATGGTGGTACATGCCTTTAACACAGCTACTCAGAAAGCTGAAGCAGGAGAAATCCAAGTTCAAGCCCAGCCTGAACAATTTAGCAAGAGCCTGTCTTAAAAAAGGGCCAGCAATTAGCTGAGTGGTACCATACCTGCCCAGCATGTAAGAGGCCCTGGATTTAATCCCCAGTAGTGCAAAAAAAGGAAAAAAAATGTTTTAAAGCAACAATAAAAAGATAATTAACTCAGTTGAAAAATGGGCAAAGGAAGCCAACTGTGGCAGCTCATGCCTGCAATCACATCACTCTGGAAAGCTGAGGCAGGAGGGTTGCATGTTCAAGCCCACAGTCTGGGCAAAAGAACTACTTAGCAAGACCCTGTCTCAACATAAAAAATAAGGCTGGGTGTGGTGGCGCATGCCTGTGATCCCAACACTTGGAGGATGAGGAAGGAGCATTACTGTGAGCTCAAGGCCAGCCGGAACTATATAGCAAGACCTTGTCTCAAAAAGTAAGTAAATATGGGGCCGGGGATATAGCTCAGTGGCATAAGTGCCTGCCTGACAAGCGCAAGGTCCTGAGTTCAATTCCCGGTACCAAAAAAATAAAATAAAATAAAAGTAAGTAAATAAAAGTAAATACATACATATATAAAAAGGGCTGAAAAACAAAACAAAAAAATAAATAAAATAAAAAGGGTTGAACATATAGTTCAGTATGAATATCCTAGATTCAACCCCCTGCACTGCAAAAAAGAAAAAACAAAAACAGGTAAGCTGGGCATGGTGGTGCGCACTTGTAATCCCAGCACTCTGGAGGCTGAGGCAAGAGGATCACCATGAGTTCAAGGCCAGCCTGGGCTACATAGCAAGACCCTAGTTTAAAAAAACAAAACAGGGGGCTGGGGATTTAGCTCAGCAGCACAGCACCTGCCTGGCAAGCATGAGGTCATGAGTTCGATTCCCAGTACTGGAAAAAAAACAAAAACAAAAAAAAACAAATAAAATCTGGGCGTGGTGACACACACCTGTAAACCCAGCACTCAGGAGGCTGAGGCAGGAGGATCATTGTGAGTTCCAGGCCGGCCTGGGCTACAAAGTGAGTTCAAGACCAGCCTGAACTGCACAGTGAGACCTTGTCTCAAAAAAAAAAAAAAAAAAAAAAAGACAAAGGACCTGAATAGACACATCTCTAAAAAAAGATATACAAATGGCTAACAAACACTTATAAAGATGCATTACATCATAAATCACTAAGGAAATTTAAATAAAGACCGTATGAAATACCACTTCATAACCACCAAGATGATTATTTAAAACCAAAAAAGGGGACAGGTAACAAGTGGTTGCTGGTCATGGTGGCACACACCTGTAATCCCAGCACTCGGGAGGCTGAGGCAGGAGGACTACTAAGAGTTCGAGGCCAGCCTGGGCTACAAAGTGAGTTCAAGGTTCTCCTGAACTGTATAGTGAAACCCTGTCTCAAAAAGACAAAAATAAGGGGCTGGGGATTTAGTTCAGCGGCACAGCACCTGCCTGGCAAGTGCAAGGTTGTGAGTTCGATTCCCAGTACTGGAAAAAACAAAAAGACAAAAATAATAATAAGTGGTTGGCAAAGATACAGAGAAATTAGAACCCTTGTAGTGTGTAGTGTGTAAAATAAAACTGTGCAGCCACCATGGAAAGCATTTTGGCAATTCTCAAAAAGCTGAACACTCAGGAGGCAGAGGGAGGAGAACTGCCACAAGTTCAAGGCCAGCCTGGGCTTCATGGCAGGGCTCTATCTTAAAAACCGAAACAAAACAAAAAAATCACCACGGCATTCCTATTCAGGGTCACCAAAAGTAGACAGTATCCATTAAGCAATGAATAGACAAAATACAGAATATCCACAAAATAGGTATTTTTATTTTGAACTGAAGATCGAATCCAAGCCCTTTTAAAAAAATATTTAATATTGAGGCAGGTTCTCGCTAAGTCCCAAAGTTACTCAGCCTGGGCTCAAACCTGCAATCCTTCTGCCTCAGCCTCCAGAGCGCTGTGACTGGAGGTGTACATCACTCCTGGCTAAAAGAGACTACTATTTAACCATGGACAGGAATGGAGTCTTCAGACCTGCAACAACCTGGATGAATCTCAGAAACATGATCAAGGAAGGCAGACACCAAGGATCACATCATGTGTAGCTCCGTGCCTACTGAGGACAGAGGAGTTCACAGAGACAGAGGCAGACTGACGTTGCCAGTGACTCCAGTAACGCAGAATGGAAGCAAGTGCTTCACGGGCATGAGGTTTCCTTTATGGGCGGTGAATGCTTGAGTTAATATAAAGCTCATGGTTACACAATGCTAGGCATATGCTAGATGCCACTCAACTGTATCATTTCAAATGTTTTGTTTAGGGTTATGGGAATTCTACCTGAACAGAGGTAAGAAAAATGCTCCCAGCCAGGCGTGGCAGTGCACATCTGTGATCCTGGCACTCTGGGAGGCTGAGGCAGGAGGATGGCATATTTGAGCTTAGCCTGGGCAACCACAGCAATTTAGCAAGACTGTCTCAAAATGAAGCATAAGAACAGGGTGCACACAGGCGCACATGTGGGCCGCAGACACGAGGGCCGCAGACTTTTGCCAAGCCCTTGTGGGTAGCTGCACAGCCTTAGAGCACCAGGAGAGCTCCTTCCTTGTCCTTCAGGAGCCCAGCACGCCCCAGTGGGAGGGCAGGGCCTGGCGCTAGCTCAAGACCGTGGCAGGAGGGAAGAGGGTGACAGGCGGGGCTGGCCATCACCCCAGGCTTGCAGCTTCCTACCCCTAGAAGATCCGACAGAACCTTCAGCTCCTGCTGCAAGTGGGATGAGGAAGGGACCCTGGCACACGCCTGTGCCCACACCCCTCCCAGAGCAGGAGATAAAGCCAAGCTGCCAGCTGTGCCTGGGCGACAGCAAGGAGACTCGAGGCCTCTGTTTATGAGGTGGCCTGGCAACCCAGGCAGCTGCCCTGGGCACCCCTCTGAAGCTGGCGCCAGGCAGGCAACCACGGCACCTGTGACCGAGGGACACTTGGCTTCAGCCAGCAGCAGGGGCTGAGCTCTAGTCTGGGCTCAGGGCAACAGGATCTGTCTTTCACAGCAGCAGCCAATGCTGTGGAGCCAGCATTTTATGGCGGTCG